CCTCCAAATACCCTCCCCTCTCTTCACAGAGCCCCCCAAGTCTGGGCCTGGGGCCATGCCTCCAAATATCCTCCCCTCTCTTCACACAGCCCCCCCGAGTCTGGGCCTGGGGCCACGCCTCCTCACGTATAGTCCAGGGGCTTCTGGTCCATCCAGATAAACTCCCCCTCTATGTCCAGGTCCCGAAGGCCGATCCAGGAGCCCTTCCTGCTGGCGTGTTTGGTGAGGAAGGCCTGGGGAGCAGGACGGGGCTGGAGGGCTGGGGGATGGGCCTGGGTGCCCCACCGAGCGGGAGGTCGGGGTGGGGACCAGCACCCCGCCGTCCCTCTGCAGAGCCAGGCCCACCTGCTCCTCCTGGCTGTGGATGCTGACCAGCCGCCCCTGCAGGTTTTCACAGGCAAACCGGGCCTGAATCCACTTCTTGGGGCCCTCGCCGAAGTAGTAGCACTTTCGCTGGAAACTGACCCACTTCTGGGGGCATGTGTTACACATGGAGCCTGGGGTGGAGGAGAAGCTCAGGGGGGCAGCCGCGGTGGGTGCTGTGGTGTGCACTGTGGGTGGCACCGTGGTGGGTTCTGTGGTGGGTGCTGTGGTGTGCACTGTGGGTGGCACCGTGGCGGGTTCTGTGGTGGGTGCTGTAGTGAGCTCTGTGGCTGGCACTGAGGTGAGCACCGTGGCTGGTACCGTGGGGACAGTGGGCAGAGTGGGTGGCAGCGTTTTTCTCTTTCGGGCTGAAAGCAGACCCACCCCAGAGCCTAACGGACAGCCTGCAGGCAGCCTCGTCCCCCTGAGCTCTGAGGCTGCCATGCAGCAACCGCCCGCCTGCAGGAGCCCCTCAGCCAGCATTCCATCACCATAAATAACCCATGGCCGCAGCCCTCCAACCACCAGCGCCAAGACCACATCACCAGCCCCACCCGCGGCACTTTAACCAACAGTGGCATCGCCACGAACACCCTCACAGATGTCAACCCCCAAAACCACGGCCATGAGTGGTGCTGCTGTCAGCAGACCTTTGCCACAGACCCAAGACCACCACGGTCTCCACCGCCAGGACAGCCAGCCCCGCCCTTACCCAACCATCCTGCCTGTAACCCCTGGGCCGCCTTGCTGAGGCCCAGACCACCCGCACCCTCCCCCTCCCTGGCCACCGACACCCCCAGGCCAGCATTCTGGGCCACTTTTGGGAAACAGATGATGTTCTTGTCATTGGAGGGATCGAGCAGGAGAGCCCATGGGCTGGGGAGGGGCTGGAAGGCTGGGTCCCTACGGCCTCACCTGGGGCCTCTGCGGTGTCTCTCTCCCCTTGCGCCCACCCCAGGGATGCTCTCGGGCGCTGTCACTCCCGCCAGCACCCCCAGGTGGGAGGTTAAACCCACTCCTGATTTAAAATAGATTCTCTTAAAGGGACCTGCACACAGGGAGGGCTCCACAGCTTGGGTGGGCTCTCTTAAAGGGGCCTGGGGTCCACAGTGGTTTGGGGTCCCCGGGGCAGAGCCGGAGGTGCTTCTCACACGCGATGAGTAACTGGTGCACTGTGCTAAAGCAGGAAGGGACCGTCTGTGGGCACAGAAAACCTCAGGGAAGGTGCCATGGCCGCATGTCACACGGTCACCAAGAGACAGCCCTGGGACAGGGCTCAGTCCCCAGGCCACCCGGGACTGGGTAGGAATCGGGAGGCCATCTGCAGGCTTGGGCAGGCCCAGAGCCCTCCTCCCTCCTTCCCCTGGGGACCCCAGAGGGGTTTCTTGCTGGGATTCCCGCAGCCACACCCCATCCCAGGGCACAGCTCCTTCACACCCAGTGCGGAGCCTTCTCTTCTCATGGCTAAACTGGGGCAGCTGGGGCTTCCCAGAGGTGGAAGGCCCCAAAGCAGGGGTGAGTGGGGTGGGGGACTTCAGGGCAGTACACCAGATTCCTACTCAGGCTAAAGGTTAACCACTGTCTGCTCTTCCTGCCGGGGCACCCCTGTGGCCCTCAACACGGGCAGCAGCACCTAAGTCTTGCCCTTTGCCGTGGAGGTGACCCCCTCAGGCCCCCTGGCTGGGTTGACAATCTTCCGGGAGGGCTGTGGACATCCTACTGCTGACCCTTTGCTGAGCTGCGATGGCCAGAGCAGCAAAGAGGCCCCGGCGATGGCAAACACAGGTCTGCTTTCACCTGGGGGGAAGGTGTGGGAGCCCGCACCCCAGCCTTATGGGGGGACGCAGCTGGACTCGGAAGGGCATTCTCACGTGTCCCCCATGCGCCCCCCCCACACACACACATGCCATCCACGCTGTCACGCACACGCCTCGACCGCACACCTGAGCCACTGCACACACCTGTGCTGGCACGCGCACCTGCCAATGCGCGGGGCACAGAGGCACTCACCGTTGGACACGCGCAGCTCTATCCACAGCCTTGCCACCTCCTCCTGGAGTCTCTCCAGTGAACCCAAGTCTGTGCGCCTCTCGTTCAAATCTGGGGTGATTGGGTGGGGGCAGGGGTCGGAGAGGCACTTGAGGGCCCCTGCCTCCCCGCCTCCTGGCCCCCTCCCGAGGCTCACTCTGGGACTTGAGGCTGCTCAGGTCCTCCAGAAGTCCGTCCAGGTTCTGCGAGAGCTCAGAGCCTGATGGGTGGGGTGGGAGCAGGACGGGGGTCGGGAATGGCGTCCCGGCCTCTCCATACCCCGGCCTCCGGAGCCTGCCCCTCCCCATCTCTCACCCTGAGCCTTCAGCCTCTCCTGTTCCGCCTGGATTCTCTCCATGTCCTGTGTCATCTGGGCAGCTGGTTGCAGGGTAGGGGGTTCAGGCGGGAGCACGTCCTCAGGGCCACCCTCGTGTCCCCCCCAGTGGCAACTAACCAATGAACTGGAACACTGTGCCCAGGTGCTAATCCAGGCCCCCCACCAAGCCCCCAGCTGAGGCCACTCACCTAGGGATTTCTGGGTCTTCTGGTCACCCTTCTGTCTGCTCATGTCCTTGGAAACCTGAGACACTGGGGCAGCAGGACAGGGACACGTCCTTGGGAGGCGGGAAGGCCGGTCCTTGAGCCCACCCCGCACCCCGGCCCCACAGACAGGACCTCCACCCACACTGCGGCTTTTGCTTTTTAATTTTGGGGGCGGTTCCCTCAGGCCCCTCTCAGAGCCCACCCCAATCTCGGAGCAGCTGGGTTTGCAGCCCCAGGGAGGGGGCACCCAGGCTGACCCTCGGTTCCTGGGGAGGGGACCCTGGGGCTCAGTGCATCCCACAGGGCTCAGGGACAGAAGCAGGACAAGGTGTCCTAGACCCCCCACACCCCCGTCTGCCCCTTACTGTTCCACGCAGCCGTCTCTTCCAGATGCTTCAGATTCCGCACACCATCCCAGTCTGGGCAGGAGGCAGAAGGAAGGGCTTCTCAGGGCCCCCGCCACCCACACGCCCCTGGCCAGCTGGGATGGAGGCCTGGAGTTTACCATGTGGGGAAGGGTGGGAGGTGGGGGTGCTGAGGGGAGGGGGCTCTCTGGGGGGTGGTGGAACAGGTGTGGGCAAAGGGGAAGACATGGGGAACCTAGGTTCCCAGGGTCTGAAGGGGGGCCCCATGGGGCTGGGGGTGTCCTCACGCCAGAGGAGAAGCAGGGTCGTCAGCCCGGCCCACAGCGCCGCGGTCACCAGCGCCAGCACCCCCAGCTGCATGCCCTGCCCACAGCACTGCCGCCTTCTGCGGAGCCTAGAAAACTCTACTGGGAGTTGGGGGAGCACCAAGGGGTGCGGGGTGAGGCTGGGCCCCGGCTCCGCCCCACTCCATATCCCTCAGAGCTGCAAAGTCCCAGGAGCCTGTCCAGAGCCCACACTGAAGCAGAGGATCCCAGTGGACCCCCAGCCTCCTCTGCACACTCCCCCCCCCACTGCCATCTTTCATGCCTACTAGCACCCCACCCCAGGCCTTCACCCATTTCTGCATCTGTGCATCTCCAAGTCTGTCCAGCCCAGTGTCTGCTGTCCCCTCCACCCGCACCTCAGCATCAGCACACCTGAGTCCAGAGAGACGACCTGGGGCCAGGAGCCGGGACCCTTCCTCTGTGGGTCCCCTCTTTAGATGGCCAACCCCCACCCAGCACTAGACTGTACCCTTTCCCATTTTACGGGGTTCAGTTACTGCCCACCAATGCTGGATCCCTGGCCTCACCCCAGAAGGCCAGGTCCTGCTTCCCCTCTGACCCCAGCCTCCACTCTGATGCCTGCCCCTGACCCTGGGTCCCTTCTCTAAACACATAGGTCTCAGTTTTCCCCATGTCTGAGCTCCTCCCCAGCCATGTCCCCAGATGTCAGATCCCCCAGCACCTGGGCCCTCCCAAAACCCTACCTTGGAGCCCCACCGCGGGCACGGGCCCCCTCCCCTCGCTTTGGCCAGGAGGATTCATCGCCTGAAATCCACTTGCTCAGAGGCCCTGCTCTGCTCGGCCCCCAATCTACCAGGTGCTCTTGCAGGAGCCGATGGTTGTCATAACGTGTTGAGTCAGGGTGGGGAGGGGCCGTGACTCCCCCCACCTGGCTCTGTGCCTGGAAGGCCAGTCAGGGCTCAGTCCCTGCCACCCCGACTCCTCTTCCCAGAGGGACCCCGGTCCCACCCTCCTCCTGGGTGGGAGGCAGGAGGTCAGGGCTCTTGCGTTCGCCAGGCTCAGCTACAGGGTCCTCTCACCTGAGTAGGAGCCTTCCTCCATGGCACCCCTGCTTGGATCCTCCCAGCGACGGGGTGCTCACCACCCAAGAGAGGTTCCCTGGACTGCACGGTCGCAGCTCTGGCTGGGATCGGGGTTCTAACGAGGGTGAAGGGGAGATGTCAGGCTCCAGCTGCTGGCACTGGGACTCGAGGAGCTCAGTGACCACAGGCTGATTTGGTGCAGCCTGCGACCTGGGGGCCAGCGTTGCAGCTAACTGGGAGGTGCACACTGTAGGGAGCTGGCCTCTGCACAGGTGTGGACAGTGCTCTGAACAAGGCCTAAGGACCAAAAACACCATCAGCTCATGACGATTGCTTCCTGGCCGACCTTGGCCCAGGACTCAACTTTGCTGAGCCTGTTTGCCTCTCTGTCAGGGGCGGTGATAGTACCCAGCTGATGAGGTTGTGATAGGGCCAAATGAGATAATGTCCATGAGGCTCCAGCGGCGGTTCTGCGCACAGTGGGTCTTCAGATCCTAAGCGTTTATCGGCTGCCTACTCTGAGCCAGGTCCAGCTGGGAAGTGCAGAGACTCCATCACCAGGCCTCCATGGCCTCCTCTGCCTCCATGCCCAAGGCATGTTTAAAGATGCTTGACTTTAAGGCACCTACTGTGTGCTGAGGAGGTCAGACCTTGGAGTCAGACAGGCCTGGGGTCGCCAGCTGCTTCCTTCCTGTGTGACTACAGGTAAGATGCTTCCCCTCTCTGAGCCTTGGGGAGGCAGAGATGCAGAGTGGCTGGGGTCTGATTTACCACAACTCAAACCAGGCCTTTTGCCATCCTGGAGGAGGCCCGAGGTGTCGTCATCCTGCGCCCGGACGCGCCCTAGCCCAGGCTGGCCAGACGGGCGGCTGAGCCTGGGGCTCCCGGGACCGGCGATTCAGGTTGTTCCTTGGCACACTGGGACTGAGTGACACTGGCTCAGCTGGAGGAAGAACGGTGGCCGGCAAGGTGCCTGCGCGCAGTGGGTGCTCCTTAACCCTGGGGCCACGGAGGTTCCCAGGGGGTCAGGAGGTAGTCCACGTCACACAGTGGACACACAGTAGGACTGGGACTTGAACCCAGAATGTGCGACCTTGAGCCTCTTTGCTCAGCCACTTGGACACCCAGCCTCTGGGTGGGTGTCTGCTGGGAAGAGCCAGGGACCAGGGCCCCGATGCCCGGCCCCCCGCATCAGCCCCCAGTGCCCCCACCAAGCTCATCTCTTTGCTCAGCCACGCCAGCCACTGGCTTCCACTTCCCCAGTCCAGGTTCCCCGCACACCTGGCGGTTCTCCATGCCTGCCCCCTGCCCCCTGCCCCCTGCCCTCTGCCCTTCCCTCATGCAAACCTCCTCCTGGTCCTTCCTCAGACTCATTCCGGTGGTCATTTCTCCCAGGAACCTTTGATGTCCACTTCCCATGGCCAGCCCAACACACACACGCACAGGTCACATACTTGCACACAGCCGCACACTTGCATCCCACACTCACTCACATGAGTTTTGAGCGTGTCGCTGTCCCCCTGGTTTATTGGGGCTGCTGGAGAGGCTGGCAAGGGCCCCGGGCTGGGGTGAGGATCTGGCCCGGAGAGACGCCTTCTGCAGGCAGACCCACCCACAGTTCTATTTTCACAGACCTAATTATGGGCTCACCACCCACCACCTCCTGCCGCTCCACGCATGGCCTCCTCCGACACTCCCCACAACCCGGTAAAGCCCCTGCTATTATTATCCCCCTTCTCAGGTGAGCAGAATGAGGTTCAGAGGCCCAGCCCGCGGTCCCAAGGTGCTGGAGGAGGCAAGCGGCAGAGTCGGGATTTGAACCAAGATGCATAAAGCATTATGCCATCCACCACCCACTGCGGCAGGGAGAGGGAAGGGAAGAGAGAGGGAGGGAGGAGGGAGAGACAGGAAGGGAAGGGACAGGGAGGGAGAGAGAGAAGGAACAGAAAGATCCATGAGATAACACAGTAACATTCTGGTCCAACATTGACAATTTTGTTACATGGGTCAATTCAGTAGCAACATGAACTGGGCCCAGTTCTTAGTGTCTGAGATGCAGTAACACATTTAATGAGCACCACCTTCCCAAGAATAAATGTCTTTCTTATCCATGGTGCCTTGTGGATGAAGGATGTGAGGCACAGAGAGGTCAAGTAACTTGTCGAAGGTCACACAGCAGAGCCAGGATTTGCACCAAGACAGCGTGGGTCCCGACTCTGCAGCCCTAACCACCGTGCCCTTACCCTTGTACCTTCAGGGACTTCTCGGCACTTCACACACCCTACTGCTTTTTTCTAAAATGTGTTCTTTGATCCTTAAGTCCCTCCCCATTCTCATTTGGGGGATGCTCCCTGCCAAACCCCCATCCTGGGAAGGGCCACCTCCCCACCTGAGGTTTGATGAGCTGCCTCTCACTCGGAGGACGCCCATCTGAGCCCCCCACGTCCCACCTCCCAGCCAGGACCCAGGCAGCAAGCCACCAGATGGGAGGGGGCATGGCTGGACCATGCACTCCGGACCGGCAGGTGGGCACTGCCTCGTCTGTCGCACTGTGTCCCCACCTGGGGACAGGTGACCGTCAGCACATGTCTGAGTGTAGGACTCTGCTGTTCCTTCAGGGCCCCCAGTGCCCCTGTCCACCTTGATCTGGGCTAAGTGAGTGGGGGCTTGAAGCCTCTGGACGTTTGCCAAGGGACAGAGATTGTTTTAAGTAGGGAAGGGAGTTGTGGGGTGGGCATCCGAGAGGTCACCAGGGCCGCTGGGTGGATAAGAATAAGATGGCAGGGGGTCTGGGGACCTGGGGGCTGCCTGGGGGCCAGGGGGAGTGGGGACATGGGGTGCTGTCACCTGACCCAGGGGCTGGAGGAGGTGGCCTGCAGCAGCAGCTATGGGGATGGAGAGAAGCAGGCAAGCCTTGGAAATGGGTGACAGGGTGGGTGGGTGCTCAGAAGATGCCGTGGAAAGTGAACAGGGTCCCAGCAGTGGGTCTGGGTGGCAGTGGGCTGACCTCAAGACGAGGACACAGGAAGACGAGGAAGTGGAAGTCTGGGAACAAGTCCTGTTGGAGGACCCAGGCCAGGGGTGCAGGGGGAGGATGGGGTGGGGGTGGGGCCAGCACTGCTGGGCCTCAGGGGGCCCACATTCTTGCCCTCGTCGCTGTCATGTCCTTCCGGGGCTCCTGTGGGGCTGGGTTCCTGCCAAGACTCAATTTAGACAAGAGGATGCTTTTGAGGTGAACCCTTGACCCCTAAGCCCGGAGCCTGTGGGGACCCCACCACGCGGTGTCCCCCTCCCTCGTACGGTGTTACTTTAGGGGAGAAACAGGAAACAGTGCGGATGTGGGCCCTCATCTAAGGGCGTGGGCTCTTTCAGGTTTGGGATTCTTGAGGCTGGGGCTGCGCCTGGCTCATTGCCAGTCTTGAGAAGGGACAAGTCCTGGGGTCCCTCAAAGACTGTATGCAGTTCCCAGGCTGGATGGCGCCCCAGCCCCGGCTCTGACCGTACGCGCCCCAAACTTGGCCCCAACCCTAACCTGCGCTCTGTGCGCTGAGCCGCAGAACCTCAGCACCCGGGACAGGGCCCCCTTCCCCCACTCAGAGCAAACCGGACACCCAGCCCCAACCCCACTGGGGCGCAGCTTGGGCTCACCCCACCTGATGAACCTCTCCTGGTGTTGTGACAGGGAGAAGGGAAGCAGGAGCCTATGGTGGGCTAGAGCAGTGGGTGTGTCGAATCCAGGAGGGCTTCCAGGAGGAGATGTCTCTGGAGCCAGGTTTGTCATTCTCAGCATGGCTGACACTGGGGCTAGATGATTCCTTGTTGTGGGGCCGTCCTGGGCATTCAGCCACATTCCTACCTTCACCTACTAGATACCAGTAGCACCCCCACCACCAGCTTCCACCTGGTCCTGATGACTAGAAATATCTCCAGACGGGGCCAAGTCCCCTGGATGGCTGAATCAGCCCAGGTGAGAGCTGCTGCTCCGCCTAGCCCGGGAGAGGGTGCTGGCTTCAGGCGTCCCCACGCTGGCTGTCTCTCCTCTCCATCTGCTGTGGACAGATCAGCTCTTTCCTCAGCACTCATTGTTTGAGCAACTCCTGAGTGCCAGGCTCTGAGAACAAGATAAAGTCCCAGCTCCCGTGAGGAGGAAAAACAAAGGGTTTAGTTGCCACCTGGGATAAGACACACATAACATAGTATCTACGATTTAATCATTTTCAGTGGCATTAAGTACACCCACTGTTGTGCAGCCGTCCCCACTCTCTCCATCTCCAGAACGCGCAGTTCCATCTGTTCAGGCTGCCGGGGCCTCCTGGGGCCGGGCCCGCTGGCCATCTGGGCTGAGGTCCGGGAGGGCGTCCCCCGCCCCGCTCAAGGGCGACCCCGGACTCAGGGCCGCGCCTCTGACCAGCCGAGGATGGAACCGCGCCTAAAGCTCCGAGAGAAGAGCCCGGTCCTCCGGCTGACACCACACTCACGACCTCAGACCTCGGGGCCCGCGCCCGGACCCAGACGCCGCTCTGCGCCCCAGGACACTCACTTCCCAAACCCAGGGGGGCCTCAGCCGCTACCTTTGCCCGACTCCGGGCCGGGCATCAGACCCACTGGGCATGCGCGCGCCTGCGGAGCCTGCTGGGAAATGGAGTTCTCTCCGTCAGACTGCTGGTGCAACGGCGGGTTCGAATCCCGGGCCTCTGTTCCGCAGAGTGGGAGACCAGGCTGGCCTCTGGGCCTGCCTCCGCAACCACGAAAAGGCGCTCCTGGTCACGGCCAGCCTCCCACGCCTGAGGTCATTATTCGAGGGATGGCAGATGGGGAGGAACAGGAGAGGAAAGTATGAAAGTGAGACCTGGTATACCCCCGGCCCCAGGTGGTTGAACTACCAGACCCGGCTGCCCGCTTGACCTGATTAGAGTCCTGACGTTGTCCATGAGATGGGTGAGATGGGACAGGGGAACTCGTTTTGACGACTGGGGTCTTTTCTTGATGTTGTGGTCAGGTTTCCAGGGTCACCTTGGATCAAGCAAGGGTAAAAGGTCTGAACTCAAGGGTGTTCAGGTCAAGGGTGAAGCTTTAATTTGAGGCTTCAGGGTCAGGTGTCAACTTGAGGATGAAGTCAAGGGTCCTTACCTGGTTTGGGTCTAGAATTTGAAAGGCAATGTCCCAGGTCTGCGTCTGGTCTGACACACGGAGGGGCTTGAGCTGGTGGGTCTAGGCAGGTGGACGGCCGCTCAGAGGACACCCTGGACCTCCCTCATGGCAGCCTGGCCTACAGCTCCGAGCAGATCTGAGCTGTGACAGCCGGGTCAACAGGGAATGAGACAGATGGCAGGCCTCACACTGATATGGATGAAGGGTATCTGGTGCCAGCCCTGGACCGGTCCTCAGAGCCTGGCAGGATCATGGGAGATCCTCAGGTACCCGAGGCCCAGGTGAGCAGGGCATGGAGTGGCCTGGAGAGGGTCTTAGGATGGGGCAGAAACACACAGGGAAGCCCGTCTCCTGACAGGATGTCAGCGAACAGAAGCTTCTCTGATAAGATCAGTACCTGGAACCTGGACCTGGGCTATTTGACCCATTGAGTCACTGAACAACTTAAAGCAAACATTTTAACCTCTGCAGGTCCCTTATTTGGGATACAGGAATAGATAACAGTCTTGATGTCACAGGGTTGTTGCTGAACCTCAACATACTTCAAGTCCCAGTTAAAAATAACACATATTTATTTAGCACTTATTCTATATGGGGCTGCCTCAGCTCCTTGGTGTCTTTCTATGAATCCAACAGAGGTACCCCGTCTTCCAGACCCTCTCCGGGTAAATGTCAAAATGCACAAATCTATGTCTCTGGTTAGAATGGGGCTCCCAGGAGGTGTTCAGTGCCCAATCTGCTCAACTGTCCACAGCAGCCTGTGTATGAGGCAGGCACTATTCTAAGCACTTTTCATACACAAACTCATTTATGAACTACTGCTGACAGATCTCTGAGGGATGGTACAGATGGGAAACCCAAGTCCCCCTTTGGTGATGATCTAGAGAACCTGAGCCTGCTTTCTCACTTCAAACTGGGGCTCAGTTGCAGACATGTTGGGGGCAAGAAACCTGTGGGAAGCACTGTGTGGGCAAAGGCTGATCATATTATTGGGTGAAATGTTGACCTGCTTTCTCCCTCTCTGAAGTGGATGGCGGCCATCTTCACGGTCAGTGGTAGCAGGAGAGCATACGGTAAGACACTCTGTACTAGATTGGGGGCCTCTCAAACCCTTCCCCTGGGACTCAGGCTTCGTGGGTAAAGACACCTTGAACCAAGCTATGCCTACATTGTGCTCCTAGCTTAGTGGGCAAGATAAAAGCCAGACAGAGCTGGGTCCAAGCTCCATGTAGTCAGGGAAGTAGGAATCCTCTTCCTCGGAGGACTGGGAAGGTTTCCTGAATGATCAGACACTGGAGCTGAGGCTTTGAAGGATGTGTAGGAGTTTTTAAAAAACAGGGCCTCTTTAATACCATCTTACTCATCTCTGTTCACACCCACTGTGCCTAGCATGGAATTAGCTTCAATTAATGTTAGGTAAGTTCAGGCCCTCCCCACCCACAGCCTCTGTTCTATTTCCTGATCCCCAAGGCACACAAGTGGAGAGCTCCAAGGAAAACCTTTACACAAGCACAAGATGTGGAGTCCTCTGACGAAGACGGCTACCACGGGGGCCCCGCCGCGAACCCGTGAGCCCTCCCAGGTGGCCAGGTGGCCCAGCCTCCCTTTTTCCCCTGGAGCTGGAACTTGGTTTTCCATATACTGTAACCCTGCCTCTCTCCACTGGTCTGTGAGAACTATTTTCACAGCACTGGCTTCTGGTGGCTTCCAGTAAGGACGAGACAAGAATCAGGTCCTGCCTTTTCTCTCTCAACCCCAGACCCCGATCTGAGACTCTGCACATTCAGTAAGCATTTAATTTTTACACCAGAAAATAATATAGAGCCAAGAGTCCTTCGGCGCCGTGAGCAGCCGAGGAGGCACCACGGATGGAGTCCAGGGCCACTGGGGGCTAAGGCACAGTGGTGGCGGGGGTGCCGATCACAGGTATACAGGCTGCTCCTGGCCTGTGAGCAGGCGGTAGGTGGCGGCCGGCATCGTCTTGATGTGGACCTGGGGGAACAGTAGAGGGGGGGTGGCTCAGAGCAGGAGTGGGCTGGCGGGAGTGCCCCTGGGCACTGCACCCCCAGCCCGCGCACCTCGGTGTGGGCCTCGGTGAGCAGCTCGATGATGCGGGCATGTGGCATGGCCACCACACTTTGCCCGTTAATCTCGATGATGCGGTGCCCCACGCGGATGCCCCCACGCTCGGCAATGCCGCCCCGGAGGAGACTGCAGATCTGGAGGGGACAAGGGCTGTGCTGCTCAAGGGGCCACGCTCAGGGCTGGCCGCCCCGCGTCTGGGCCCTGGGTGGGGGCCTCACAATTCCATCCTCCACGCAGAAGCCCAGCTGCTCTCGGGCGTGTGGCCGGTGGATGATGGCTGTGGTGACAGGCGGGCAGTGGACAATGCTGAGGGTCACCGACGTCTGCGACTTCACCTCCTGTGCAGGATGGGGGCTGTTGGCCTGGCAGGGCCTCCAGGGGGCTACTGGGACTCTTGGTGAGCGGCAGCCTCCTCTGGGCCTCAGTTTACCCCCCGGGGTAAAATGGAGACTTGGAGACAAAGCCCTCAATTTTGGAAGCCCCCGTGAGAAGTGGTTAGGAACACAGATCAGCCGGGCAGCCTCAAGGTGGGAGCCGTGTGACCCCTGACCTTCCTGACCTCCCTGGGCCTCAGTTTCCTCAGGGTCAAAGGCAAGTTTCCCGCAGCACCCACCAGGCAGGGTTACAAACACTTGGCTACACGCTGCTTGGCCCATGTCAAGCCTGCCCTACTGACCAACCAGTCCCTCCCTATCTCTGAGCCTCAGTTTCCCATCTGGGCACCAAGTTTCAAGATTCACCACACTTGCTGCCGTGTGGCAGGCAGGAAAAGCCACACGGCTCTGCAGCGTGGCCACTGCAGTCCAACCCTGCCCCCACCAGCGTCACCCTAGACATGTGACTACCTCTCAGAGCCTCAGTTTCCCTGCATACATGGGATTGGCTCAAACTTCAAGCTCTACCTGGTCCCTTCTGGACTGGCCAGGCAAGGGACTTCTGTGGCCTCGGACTCCCCTTTCCGGCAATGTGGGGGATGCGGGCCTGCCACCTTGGGGGCCCCTTGGCCTGCACAGAAAGACTCACGCGGATGGCGGCCTGGCAGGCAGCTAGGGACAGCCCCACCAGGCTGGTCCCGTTGATGGCGGTAAGGCGGTCCCCAATGCTGAGGGCCCCCGAGCGCTCGGCTGGGCCCCTGTGCAGCAGGTTGGCGATGACGGCCGTGGGCAGCAAGGAGCCCCAGCCAGACTCCACCAGGGCCACGCCGAGGCCCTCACCCCGGCGCTTCTCGATGCACACCTGGGAGAGGGCACAGGCGGGAGGTGAGGGCTGCCAGGTGGGGCAGGCGGGGGGGCTGCCGGCCGGCCTGCTGGCTCACCTCCCTGCAGTTCTCGCTGTTGGAGAAGTGGTCGAGGTCACCGTTGTGGAGATGGCCGGGGCCTGTGGCGCCCTGGCTCTGCCGGGTGGCCAGCTGGGTGGGGTCAATGCCACTTTCCCGCAGGAACTGGCTGTAGGCCACAGCAAAGGCCTGGCCAATGGCCTGAGCGATGAGCTGGGCCTGTGTGGGGATGGGCAGCATCTCTGGGGGAGGCCCCACCCACTTCCTTCAGGTCCCCCAAACCCTCTGACACCCTCAGAGCTGAGCCCTCCTATCTCCATCCCGAACAAGAGTCCCAGGACACAGCCTGCTGCCCTGCGGCTTTGGGGACATCAGGAAAGCAGTGCTGTCCTGGGGAACCTGTGGGGGACAGGGCAGGGCAGGTGAGGGGAGTCAGCTGCCAGTCTCCAAAGCTTATGGGGATGACCAGAATACATGTCTCAGGGTCTTAGGGATGGCAGAGACAGCTGTCAGCGCTGAGGACAAATGGAAGGATACTAGGTAGCACGGGGGCACAGTGGGCTTCGGAGGAGGGGGGTGCTGGCCCTGAGTCCCCTTCTCTCCCAGGCCACCCAGAAATCCAATGCTCACGTCCTCAGAGTGGAAGATGTGGCAGATCATCTTGTAAAGCCTCTGGCTGTGAGCCTGGGATGCCGGCCGCCGGGCCAGCCGCCGCCGGGCCATGAGCACCAGCACGCTGCCAATATCAGCAGTGTAGGAGATGGTGTGCAGGGCATGGTCCATCATGGCCTCCTAGAGCACGGGAGATCAGGCCTGGGTGGGCGGTGGCGGCCCTCGGCTGAGCCCCTCACCTCCCACAGTGCAGGCTGGGCCCTGTACCTGGGAGTCCGCTGTCAGGACCTTGACCCTCTTGGTAGAGACGAAGAGGTCCACCTCCGTCATGGGCTGGGTCTCCCCATCAGGGGCCTGTTGGCAATGGGTTGGGAGGTGGAGGCCCCCAAAGACCCGGCGTCTACCCCATGAGGCCCCATGGCCTCAGATGACCAGGCCTGCAGCCCGCCCTCCAGCCCCCAGAAACCCATCTGCCTAGCCCTGGCTTCACCTTGACACGGTCCATCGCCTCCCGGGCCTGAGCCATGCGGCTGCTGGGGGCCGGGTTCCGCTCGGACACCAGCTGCGTGGAGCCCAAGTACTTGGCCCCAAATATGACACCATCCAGGAGGTCTTCGTGGTCACAGGGACCAGGTGCTGAGGGCAACAGTGGAGGAGGGTCAGCCTGAGAGTCCCTGGCCTGGTTCATCCCTGCCGTGGGCTCTGCCCAGGGTCAGGCTCCCTCAACGGTCTGGAGCACAGAGTTCTACCCCTTGGCTTGGCACGCAAGTCACACAGGCATGCCCACTGTCCCAGAACCATCCTGTAAGCAGGAGCCACGGGCAAGCTCAGAGACCTAGAGCTGGCTCACAGGACCACGTTCCACAAGCCTTCTGGGCATCCAGAACCATGGCCAGATCCAGAAAACAGCTCCAGTGCTCAGACACCCCCACCCTACCTCTACAATCCTGTGATCAGGCTAGAACCTGAAGGCCCCATTTCTAAATCTGGCAACATTTTAGAAATACAGTCAACTCCACTCAATGGTTCTGGACTCCCCACCCCCGCAATCAATCTAGAGCCAGTCAGCTCTGCCTGATGTTCTAGAATTCTCTGCCATCAGCCTAGGACCATTGACAACTCTACTCCAGGGTCACAGAATGGCCCACAGAACCCTAGAAGAAAGAGACAGCTGTCCACGGGCCTAGAACTCTCACACTATCCAGACCTGACAGCTCCCACTGTGATTCCAGAACTCCCTGACAGGTCTCGAACTACAGATGTCTGTCAGGGGTTCTAGAAACCTCTGTCACTCCGGAACCACAGACTTTTCCAGTCTGTGATTCCTGAACTTCATCATAATAGCTCTTTCTGTGGTTCTAGCACATCCTCAGTTGGAGCACTGCCTGCCCTCCACGGTTCTAAAAAATGATCTGCATAGTCCACAAACACCTCTGCTCATGGCTCTAGAATTCCCCCAGCTCAGCCCGGAACCACGCAGAGCTCTGCCCTCCTGGCTCTAGAATTCACTGAGCAACCGAGAACCAGACAGCTCTGCTAGTAGTTCTAGAAGCACAGGTACAGACTCCAGTTGATGACACTGCTAAGTGAATTCAAGCCACAGCCAGCACTGCCCACTGTCCTTCAGGATCGAAGCGCTCTGCGACAGGAGACAGCTCCGGTCAAGGGCTCTAGAACTATGCCAGCGTGACAGCACTGGGCACAAGCAGGTACTATGCACCTGACAGGTGGCTGGCCGGGATTGAGATGTGCGGTCAAGTGCAAAATGCATGTTGAATGTCGAAGACTGAGTACGAAAATATGTAAAACAGTTGTAACATATTGATGGTTGAAAGGGTTATCTTAAACAGAGTGGATTAATTGAAATGCTATTATTTTTACCTGTTTATTTAAATGGGTAACTAGAAAATTGAAAAGCACACACGGCTTTGTCTAGTGCTGCTCTAGAACGTTCAGACTCTACAATCGGACAGCCCTGATGACCACAGTTCCAGAACACCCGTTGTTGGCTTGGAACTATAGATGAGCTTTATTTGTTCCACAGTTCTAGACCTCCCCAGTCTGTGCAGAACAGCTATGTTCATTATTCCAGGGCACTCTCAGCAGCCCAGGTTCCTTTAATCTAAAACCACAGGCAAAAATGCCAAATTCTGGTACTCTCTAGGTAAGTCACAGCCCCACACAATTTCAGAACCTTCTTGAAACTACAAGTTTCAAACCAGCCCCCCTTCCTGCAACCACAGAGCTTTCTCCTTGACTTCCAACCTCAGATTAATTTGAAGGGAAATTCTAGAACACTCCAGATGTCCAGAACTAGTTCTTAGATTGGCAAACTTTTTATGTAAGGGGCCAAACAGGAAATATCTTTGTCTCTGAGGACCAGATGGTCTCTTTTGCAACTACTTGACCCTGCCATCCACTATTGACAAAATGTAAATGGATGGGCATGACTGTGTCCAAATAAAACTTTATTTATGGACACTGCAATCCGAGTTGCATGTCATTCCACACGTGTCAAGAAATATTCTTTCAATTTTTTTTTCAACCATCTAGAAACACAAAAGCATTCTTAGCTCACAAGATAAGCCAGAACAGGCAGAGGGTCACATTTGGTCTGCAGGTGGTAATCTGCCAACCCCTCCTCTAGAACTCAGTGCTGCAAATGCCAAGCCTGCCCAAACACTCCCTACTTATTCTGGAATATTCTCACGGCTGTCTCTCTCTCCCAGGCCATCTGGAACCTACTCAAAACCAACTTCAGAGCCTCTCTAGAAACAATTGACTGGCAAACTAGTGCCACATTTTGGGAGCTTCCTTTGGGTGGTTCTGAAACCCCTAAGTCCCTGGGGCCAGGGTGGGCAGGACACTCACCCTCCTGGAGGGCAGGGTATGAGGCCAGGGTCTTGGGGCTCTGGAAGAAGATAGGAGAGGAGCTGGACTGAGTCCCCAGCCTCAGTACAGTGCAAGAGGCCTGGGGCAGGCAGACCCTACCTGGGCACTGGCAGGCGGTTCTTCAGAAGCAATGAGAGGCACCGTCTCCAACCAGGGCTCTGGGGAGCTGCTTGAGCTCTCACTGCCATCCCGCTCGGCAGAGGCTTCCTCTGCCCATTCCTGGGGGCCAGTATCCCCATCTGGGTCCTGAGGGGGCTGCAACAGGCAAGGACCAGGGTCCAGAGGCTCCTTGGGAAAAGGCTGGGAAGGAGGGCACCCCTGGTCATGCAAAAGACTCAGCAAGTCATCTCGGCCAGCCTCAGCAGACAAGAGGCCATGGGCATCAGGGATGTCCTGGGGGACCAAGCCATGGCCAGTGGCAATGTGCAGGGGGCACGGGGGTACATCTGGGGACAGGCCTACTAGATCGCCAGGTAGAGCCTCAAACTGGTGCACCAGGTCCTGAATACTTGGTCCATCCAGTTCCATCTGATTCAGGCTGCCAGAGCCTCCTGGTGCTTGGTCCCACTGGCAGTCCAGGGTGAGATCCTGGGAGGGTTTAAGGGTGTCCCGGGGCTCCTCCAAGTCCATGGCTGGAAGCCCTAGGGGCGGTTGGGAGGTTGTCAGGAATTCCATGTTTGGACCCCAGGCTCAGGCCAGCATCTGAAAGACAGATTCAAAGATGAGATTTCCTGGGTGTCAACTTGATTCCAGGCTCTAGCTGGCTACTGTTCATACAGAACATATAATTTAACCCCCACCATACCATGCCAGGAACGATCTGCTGTGATCCTCATTATACAGATGAAGAAACCGAGGCACAGCATGGAAAGTTGTAAGGCAATGCTTCTCGGGCTCCAAAGCCCAGGGGGGATTCCCCTGTACTCGTCACCCAAGACCTCTCCCCTCCCGTGGACCCTGCTCACTCCAGCCCTGATTCTTCCAAGTCTTGCTCTCCCACCCAGGTTGGAGACACACCTTGACTATACAGACCCGTCACCCGAGACCACAGACTAAAAGACCCCGGTTCGAGACTTCAGATCCAGGACCCCAGGCTTAATACCAGAGATCCAAGACGCCAGAAAGCACCCCTAAGACCCTAATGCCACGCCCCAGAGCGACCCCAGACTCAGACCCGCACCTCAGAGCCCAGCCTGAAGACATAACCCAAGCCTAAAGCTCCGAGTTAAGACCCCAGTCCTCCGGAAGACCCCAGCCAGACTCAAGACTTCAGATCCCTGAGTTTAGGCGCTTGTCCCAGACGCCGCTCTGCTCCGCCAGAATACTCGCTTCCCAAAGCTAGGTGGCCTCAGTCCGGGAGCGCCCAGGACCCCACGCCCCGGTCGGTCGCACCTCCCAGCCGTCGCCGCTCGCTGACGCAATTCTGCCCACTGGGCACACGTAAGCTTGCAGGTCCTGCCGGGAAATGGAGTTCTCCCATCCAGCCTGCCGGGCGGGGGCACTGGGTGACCAAAAGGCAGGTTCGAATCCCGGTCCTCTTCACATGCAGCGGGAGAAGTGCTGGCCTCGGGACCTGTTTCCTCAACCACAGAAAGGGTGAATCATTACTGCTTGCCTCCTGCGGCTGTGGTCATTATTCCAAGGGATGGCAGGTGGGAGGGAAGAAATGGAACTAGAAAATACTCAAGGAGAGTGTGAAGAGGTCCCTTTCGACGTTAGGGACAGCGAAAGCAGCGCTGGGATCCTATCGTAAACCGCCGTCCGGGTTGGCTAGCAGCTGGGAAGCCGAAAGGAGCATCCCGGCTGAACTTAACCTCGGCCTCCTCAGTTACCAACTGCGGGTGTTAATAGTACCTACCTCCTGCTTGTGAGGATTAAACGAGATGGAGCTGGTTACGGATTTAGCAATAGGGCTGGAATATAATCAGTTTAGTAAAGATCAGCTCATCACTGTTCAGGCTTTCGGTAGTTGCTCATTGAATGGTGGCATCAAGAATGTATAAGGTGTGGTCTTTAAAGTAAATGATAAGTAACCAAAAAAAGCAATGAGTCAATGAAATATCCTTTAGAAGTCACCTCATGCAGAAACTGGGGATAAAAAGTTTAAAGAAGTCACAGGAAGTGTATGCCAAGCGCTGGAGTACTACCTTTCCCAGAAATCTCTAAGAACCTACAACTCCCAAGCACCCCTTGGCCGCTGACGTCTCCCGGAAGCGTGCACGTGCAGGCAGTCGGCATGCGTCATGGCGGTCAGATTCCTGTTCGGGATTTCCCGGGCCTGGGCCGGCCAGCGGACCAGGGAGCTCCCGGACCCCGCCGGTTTCAGAAGACGCCTCGTACGGGATTATGCCAAGAAGCCGGGTGAGCTTGATTAAGAGAGACCAAAGTGCTCGAGGTGGACTTTGAGAGTTGGTAGTGCGCAGGCGCTGGTTGGGTAATTGGTTTCTAGAAAAACGGAGAGGCGGACGCTGAGCTCTCTGCGCAGGCGCAGTTTGAAGGACCTAGGGCGAGACTGGACTGAGTACCCAGGCACCGGCGGCGTGCGGCGGTGTGTTTGGGCTACGTGGAGCAAATGCGCTTCACTGCGCATGCCCAGGGTTCGGGATTATGTTCGGGAGAGGGGGTCGTGACCTTTGGTCTCAATTCTGTTTCTGCCTCCAAATCATTGTGTGACCTTGCGCATGTCACCACCGGGAATACAGGGACGCATTGGGGTCCATCTAAGTATTAAGCATTTAACCAAACCAAAACAAGGTTATTTAAATTTCAGCTGCATACAGCCTAGCCTGCTCTCCTTTGTTGAAAGGAGGAAATTGACGAATGTTAGGCCTTTAGGACACACAGCAGCCTTTATCTGTAAGCTAAGTAGAAGGGATCAAAATAGAAAATCAGTGACTAGGTCACCTTGAGCTTACTTACTACATATCCATGTGCCACTTAGAGTCATTTTGGGTGCAGTAGAGTGCAGCCAGGGCCTGGGGCCACCGAGGGAGGAGGGGAGTTGCAGGAGGGGGGAAGGCTGGCCTCCAGAGTGGCAGCTGGGCTGAAACAACTCTCCCCGACTCCCCAGTCATTAAGGGGACCAAAGGCGGCAAAGGTGGTGTGGTCAGTGAGGCCCTGAAAGACCCAGACGTATGCACAGACCCCATACAACTCACCACCCACGCCATGGGCGTCAATATCTACAAGGAGGGCCAGGACGTGGTCCTGAAGCCAGACGCAGAGTACCCTGAATGGTGAGTGGGCCGGGCTGAAGAGGTGGGAGGGTGAGTGGGGACGAGGCGAGCCCTGGGTGATCAAGTCCACGGTTTCAGGAAGGCTTCCCAGGGGACGTGATCCATGAGTCAAGACCTGAGTGTGCGGAAGGAGCTTCAGAGGCAGAGGGAACAGCCGGTGGAAAAGCCCTGGGGCAGGACTGCAGTGTGTCAGTGGAACGGCAGGGAGAGGTGGTGGAGAGTCGGGGCAAATGGGGCCAGGAGGCCCCAGAGCTCAGCACTCACAGGCCCTGGGGGGCCACAGGGAGGATTTCCCTCTTGGCCCTGAGAGCAGTGGTGGGACACGGAAGCCACTGACATGTGCTGATCCTTAAAGCTTGGGAGGGTTCTGAAAGGCTGACTGAGTGGGTGGGGAGGCGGTACAGGCAGCCAGCTCAGCACAGACAGTGCCAGGGGCACGAGAAGGCTTGTGTGCCCCCCTCGGATGCCAGTCCACGGGGATAGGGACCATGCCCTTTTTCCACCGGGACCAGCTTGTGTGGAGGGAGCAGCAAGGGGCCGTCAGAGATCACGCAGTCACCATGTGGGACCTAGTTGTGCTGCCACCACTGCCTAAGGTGCCTGGGGGTGGGTGGGTGCGGGTGCTGTGTGCAGCCTGATTCCTCCTCATGCCCTATTAGGCTGTTCCAGATGAACGTGGGCGCCCCTAAGACATTAGAGGAGCTGGACCCTGAGACCCGAGAATACTGGCGGCTTCTACGGAAACAGAACATCTGGCGCCACAACCGGCTGAGCAAGAACCAGAAATTCTAGTCGGGGGTGACCTGAGCACCGCGCCCCGCCAAGGGCCCCTCCAGAACCCCCAAGGAGGACCCGGGGGGGCACAGCACCTTCGCCATCCCGCCTCCACAGAGACCTTTTATTTTCCTGGAGGAAGTAGACTTTTCTGAGAACAGAGGAAGTCCTCTCACCTGGGTTCTTATGTGGCCCCCACGATGAGGCTGGACCAGGATGCTGGGGGCCAATAAAGACTCTTGGGGCTGTCCTTGGCAGGCCCCGGATGCCATCGGTCGCTGTCTGATGTCGGGGCCAAGAGGGAAGACGGCGGGAGGCAGGCATCTCAGACCCCGTGGTTGCGTTTGCAGGCCCATCCGCATGCCTGTCTTCATCTCCAGGCCTTACTGGGCTTCTTGCCCTGATACCCAGGATTCCTGGCACCGCCCAAGAGGCCCCAACTTCCGTCCTTGAGGGGGAAGCTTTTCTAGCCAAGCCTCTCTGTTGCAAGAGACTCAGACCCGACCCCAGCCGTCCGAAGCAGAGGGGTCTTTGTGGGTTTCAGGAGCTGCGCAGGGTCAGGCTCTAACTTGAGGCGTGCCTGGATCCAGTGCTTCCATCAGCTGCGTGGCTCGCGCAGTCTCCGAGTCCCTGAATCCTCAGTCGGTAGTTCTCTGGGGCAGGAATGGCTCCAGGACTCCTGGCTGACTCCCCCCATCCCAGCTCGGCGAGCCCAGCCAGAGGAAAGGGACTTTGCCTTACCAAGGTCACAGGTGTTGTCTTCATTGGCCAATCACCTGAGCCCAGGGACCAGGGATGACTGCCTGTCCTCCTGTCCACCCCACCGGTGCACGGGTCTCGCCCTCCCCCGCCCTTGCCCCCACTCCAGCAGGAAATGTGTCCTGGAGTCTGCCTGGAGCACCATGAACTTGACCCACAGCTGGGGTGAGAAGCCCAGCCTTTGGGCAGTCCTAACTCCCACCCAAGCCTGGCTGTCAGGGAGGGGTTGCCGGGCAGGGGCTTGGGGGCCAGGCCAGAGCCCACAGCCTTGGAGAAGGCTTGGCGGCAGGGCCCCACCGCAGCAGCCCTGCCCTCTCCCTGGTAGGCATCTGTGGGGGGGCTGGCACCACCTGGTGGGCTGGTCAGGGGTGGCACTGCCCTTCCAAGGCCCTGTCTTCAGAGCTGGATGGGCATGGCGGGGGACCCTGTGGCTAATTCTGCTAGTGCCGGGAAAAATGAGAGCCCTCATCCGCTTAGGACTCTGCCAAGTGGATTACTGCCTACCTGCCCTCCCCGGCGGCAGGCCCTGAGTGGGCGGAGGGTCCTGACCTTCCCACAGATGCCCTTGGCCCTTGGTAAAAACCAAAGATGTAACAGCCACAGACCCTGCCCGATCTGCCCGCTGTCTTCCCTGTGCTGTCACCTTGCTCACTCTGCTCCTGCCACATGCCGGACACAAGTCCTGCCCCGGGACATTGCACATGCTGTTCCCTCTGCCTGTGTCGCGTGGCTCCCGGTTGCACCTCCTGCAGGGTTCTGCTCTGATGTCACCTTCTCCATGGTGATATTAACAACCCTGAGACGCACTCCAGATGGCCCTTTCTGGTTTTATTTTCTCCCAAGCACTTAACCACTAACTGGCGTTTAGTTTAGTCTATTTAGTGAACCTGTTTCCTTGCTCCCCCACCGAGCAGCGGCTCCATTACAGCAGGGATGTTTGCCTCTCTGACCCCATGGCATGCTGGACGGAAGATGGATGCACAGGCGGATGGGCGGGTGGGCAAACCCACCCATGGGCTGTCCTGGCTGCTGCACTGTGAACAGAACACCAGCCATAGGGCTTGTGCGCGGTGCCAGGTGCAGGCTGTGCACCCTGTTAAGGTGCAGATCTGGTGTGAGGGCCCGGAAGTGAGTCTGTGGTCACTTCGCGGATGGAACCCTGAGGGGCAGGGTGCCAACCACTTGCGGCTTCAGCCCTTGACACCCCCCTTCACACGCCTGTCTGACCCAGGCTGCCAGGTCCCACAGGGAGGCGCCTCACGCTGACACCAGGCCGGCCCTGGATACCATCATACCCCATTCCTTGCCCCCCTGACGTCTTCTGTGTCCCAGAATCCAGCTGGGCTCCGGGAACGGCAGCCATCATGCCTTGAGGAGCCCTGTGGAGACGTGCTTGGGTTGGACAGAACAAACGGTGGCCTTGCCGCCCTGGGCTGGGAGACCTGCCAGGGTCTGTGGGCAGTGGGGACATGGCTGCACTCCGATGCACAGAGGGAGCACGGACTGACGTTTGCTCAGTGTCGGTCCGTCTCTGCCATCCTGGGGCCCCCTGGAGTGCCTGGGGTGACGGAGTCAGGCAGTGAGTTGAGAAAGCCCCACCCGCTGGGACACCGGCTTGCCCTCTCCGGGCTTGCTTCTTCCCCTATAGGGGGCTGATGGCTGTGCCCACTCATGGGGCTGTCGATGGGCAAAGCTGTGGGCATAGGATGGACCCCAGTGAAAGGAAGCCAGCTGGCCATGATCTGCCACTGTCACCTGTCACTTCCAGGACAGGGGGAGCCTTGAGAGCCAGTGGCTCTGCTGGTGAAAATTAGGAGCCGGCAAGCGACTTAGACTCACGGACTCAGGATGATCTCAGCGGCTCCTGACAGCCGCAGCCTTACAGTCCTGGAGCTGGGGATCCACCCACCCAAGCCCGCTTGACATGGGGAGACTGAGGCCCCGAGAGGAGCACAGACTCCACTGGGGCCGGGCCTCACCTCCTGGCCTGGGAATCCCTCGGCCCTCCTTGCTGAGACCGGACGCCAGTCTCCCCGTAAGGCAGGATGAGGAGGCGGGGGGACCCGACCCGGGTGGCCAGGGACAGGCCAAGGAGGGGGGGTAGGGCGTGCAGACACCAGGCTCATGCCGGCGGCCAGGCCCTGTCCAGAGCCTGTGCATGCTCCTTGGCCAGCAGCCGCAGGGATGTCTCCTCCAGGGTGAAGCCATCCACGAAGGCAGGACCAAAGGTATGGGGACTGAAGGACGCCTGCAGCCCCGGGCCCAGGAGGCACGGGAGGCCTGGCACGGGCGGGGGCCCGGGGCCCAGCCACGGTTCCAGGGGCAGTGGCATGGCTGGAGGGCGGGCAAACGGCAGGGCTGGGGCCTCGGGGAGCCTCGGGGCTGCCACAGCCCCAGGGCCTGACTCCAGCCGCTCCTGGCGGCGCCACTTGGCCCGGCGGTTCTGGAACCACACCTGGAGGCAGCGAGAGGGGTGCTCCCAGCTCAGGGCCTGTGGGAGGGCCAGCCGCCTACCCCCTTTCTACCACGCCCTCGCTAGGCCTCCTGACCTTGCAGGGTTCTGCCCGCTGTGGAACCTGACCGCCTGCTGCAGTGCCCACGTGTTTTGTTATCTGCCTCATGGAGATGGCTATCTTGAGGGAAAGACAGATGCCTGCCTCATGGTCCCCACCAAGCAGCCCCCAGGCCTTTTCTGAATCTAATCCCTCCTCTCCATTCTCTCTGCCCAGGGCCCCCCGGGCTCCTTGGCTCTTCCTTGATCATGAAGTCCTGGGCACAAGTCCAAGCCTCTCAGCTCGGCATTCAAAGCCCTTCACAAGCTCTATGTCACTTCCATCCACTTCACACCCAGCTCAGTGGAAACGCCTCTTATTGAACACCTCCACACCTTTGCACATGCTGCTCTGGCTGCCTAGAAAAACACCCTTTCTCCTTTCTAGCTGGCAAACTCCTATTCAAATATCAAGGCCCCAGTGTCACATGCCTTCCTCCGGGAAGCCTTCCCAGTTCCTCTGGCTCCAGCTCTCTCCCAGGTTATTGGGGGATGGCCTCACCTGCACGCGGACCTCGGGCAGGTGCACCTTGGCTGCCAGTTCCTCACGGCTGTAAACATCTGGGTAGTGGGAGGCCTCAAATGCCCTCTCCAGCTGGTGCAGCTGGTACGTGGTGAAGGTCGTGCGGTTCCTCCGGTGCTTCTTCTTGGGGGCCTCCTCGCCTAGGCCTGGCCCCCTGCCCTCGGCCACCGGCCCCTCGCCTGGGCTCAGGAACATGGCTCCTCCTTCCAGGACAGATGGTGGTGAGACAGCAGGAGGGACAGCCCGCTGGGGGGGCAGGGGAGCCCGTGGCGCCGGCTGTGTGTGGATGAGATGTGGAGGGTCTTAACCTTCACTCTGCGCCCCTCCAGGCTCTGTGTTTTAGTCTCGGTGATCTCACCCACCATCTGCCTCCACTTCTGTATTTTCTGTGTCTCGCACCCCCCCAGCTCTGCTTTCTCTCTCTCTCAAGCTCTCCGAGTGCCTCTGTGCCCCTACATCTCTGTCTGTGTTTTCCTGTCTGTCCACCTCTCTGTTTGGCAAGGAGCCCCAGGAAGACAGGAGGCTGGGATACTGCCCCCACAGAATGCCTTATCCCCAGGTCCTCCACCCTGGGGGCCTCCCTGCAGCCCCCAGCTCCCAGCCATGCCCATCTGCCCTGCACTCACCACCTCCAGTGAGCCCCTGTATCCACGGGCTCCCGCCCCAGTGGGCCCAGCACCACATCTGCTGCTGGCCTGGCCCTGCCAGACCCGAAGAGGTTGGGGGTCAGGGCGGGGGAGGATTAGCACAAGGTGATTAGTTGAGGCGGCCCCTCAGCCTGGCGCTGGCTGCTCTGAGCTGCTGAGGGCGGGCAGGGCAGCTGGGAGCTGAGGCACCAGAGGGGAATGTGGGGGGAGTGACCACTGGCCTCGGTGGGCCTCCCCTGCTCTGGGCCTCAGTTTCCCTAGCTATAAAAGGGAAACATGAGGACCTACCCCATGAGACTCTCAGAGGAACTCGGTGAGGTACTGGAAGAGCATAGCAGCGATCGGCATACAGCAGGTGCTCAGTGTATGTCCACTTACTGTTTCTATCAGTTGGGACCAGAAAAAAGTCCCGCTTATACTTGCAAATGTCAGTGGAGGTTGGGGAAGCTGAGGCCCAAGAGAGTAAAGCAATTCCTGTTGGCTCTCCTGAACACCGAGCAAGGCAGGGAGTAGGGGGCTTCTTAGCTGGGTTTCAAGGCATGAATAGAAGTTCATGTTTCCTCCATTCATTTAATAAATACTTATTAAGCACCTACTGTGTACCAGGTACTATCAACAGCAGTGAAGAAAACAGACACAAATATTGAAGTTGACATCCTAGTGGGGAGACAAATAATCAGCAAATAAAAGGTAGAGTCTGTCAGGTGGTCTTAAGGCTAGTGATAAGCAGGGGAGGGAAGGGGGTACATGGGGTGGGTCGCTCTTTTAAGGAAAATAATCAGAACGAGGGATGGAGTGCAAGGCTGCAAATTCTGGACACAGTGATGTGAAGGAAGGTACTGGGGAGCCATGGGAGGTTGTGGAGCAGGGGAGGGACAGAGTCAGGTGACACAGATGAGAGGCAGGAGGAAGCTAGAGGCCTGGTCAGGACAAGGGCCAGGGGACAAGAGAACAAGTCCAGAGGAGAAAGTCTGGGGACAGAGGAGGAGCAGGGAATACCCAGACCCCTGTGTCAGGGCTGAGTGGATGATGGGTTGTTGCAGAGCTGCAGTGCGTTCTAGGTGAAGCCCCTGAGATTGGTATGCCAAACCCCCTTCCCAGCAATTTCCAAGGAGCCTGGGGGTCTCGGGCAGGGGTGCCCTGAAACCTAAGAGGAGAGGGGGCTGGGGGAGGGAGGGGACAAGGTCCGCAGGATTTAATGACATTGAGGACAGGAGGGAGACCCAAGCCCGTGGGTGGGCGGGATGCAAGTGCGAGAGGAGGTAGAAACTTCTGGAATGCTGCTTTTGAAGTAGAGACAGTCCTGCAGGGTCTGGTCCGACTTGAGGGCCAATGGCCTTGGTGGAGGGGCCGGCTGTGGCTGCCAGCCCAGGAGGGGAGGCCCCTGACACGGAGCCCAGGCCGGAGGGGCGGCCGGTGCTTCTGTCACAAGGTGGGCTGGGCCTCCAAGGTCCGGGGTGAGAGGCCTGTGGCTTGTGGGGAGATAGTTCTGGTGAGAGGCCTGTGGCTTGTAGGGAGATAATTCTCCTAATTGCTTCATCACTCTAAAATACTAAGGAGCTGCTCTGTCCTCAGGCCTCAATTAGCTAATTGGCCCTGGGGGTGGTAAGAGGCTGTGGGAGGGATTGGGCTTCGGCGACTTAGCGGGTGCGGCGAAGGCACAGACGCTGTGTCAGCTTAGGGGAGCGGATCAGGGCCGGAGCCCGGGGCGCCTGCCCCGCAGCCCTCACCCCCACCGCTGCCCCTCCGGTGTCCCACCCTTCATTAGTCTCCCAGGAAAAGTCCCCAAACCCCTTCAGGTGCCGGTGGGGAAACTGAGGCCAGAGGGTAGGAAGGGCTTCAGGGGGCACTGTTGGAGGTCAGCGTGACCTTGGGGCATTTCTGCGGCTCAATCTCTGCTCAGGCCGCGGTGGGTCTCCTGAGGCAGGTGGGCGTGCTGTAGTCTGGTGTCCCCTCCCCAGCTCGGGGGCCCTGGGGTGGGGGCCGGAGATGCCCCTCCAGGCATCCTAGAGGCTGGCTGGGGACATGGGGTGGCTGACAGCCACCGCAACAACAGAGCTCCAGCTGGCGCGCACAGCCCTTCCCTGGTGTGAAGCCCCGGTTCCTCACACACCCCACAGCCCGGAGAACATTCCTGATCACACGGTGAGCTGCTGGGGCTGGGGGAGGGGACCCAGGGGACCCACCCCCGTTTGCCTGGGATGCCCTTGGCTTAGCATTAATGCCCCCATCCTGGAAACTCCCTCAGTCTGGGGCAGTTGTCCCTGTAGGCCAGGGCCACATGGCTGGCGAGTCAGGATTCAAACCTGGGGAGGCGAGCCCAGAACTCCCCCCTTGCCCACAACCCCCACAGGAGAGCAGACAAGAGGGGCGGGGTCAGAGGTTTTCAGCCAGTCTCCTTGGGAGTCCCTGGTTCCTGCTGTTGGATGGTGACAGCCCGGGGACCCTGGTGGCTGCCCCCCGGCACCCCAGGTGGGACACTGCCACAGTGGCAGAGCCTCCCTGGGCCCCCATGTATCCACCCCGAGGGGCAAGGGTGGGAAGGGGAGAGGAGGCCGGAAAGGGAGCTTCGACTGCCCTGGCTGCTGGTACCCAACCAAGGTCCTTGCAGTTTGGGGCCCCAAGCGCTGGGGCAGGGTGCTCACCCCTGGTCACTGCTCTGCAGGCGCCCCACAGTGGGGAGCCGCAAGGGAGAGCAAATGGGTCCACAGGCAGCCGGGATCCCTGGCCCACACCCCCACGGTGGCTGCAAGATCCGGCTGGGTGGACCCCTCGGGGGGCAGATGACCGGCGGGTGGATCGCCCCTGGGCTGAGCGGTTCTCCCCACCGTGTTAGCGCCCTGGGGTGAAGGATGCCAGGGGTCACAGAGAGACTCCAACACACACAGCCCTTTGAACCAGTCTTTATCCAGCCGCTCATCCTTCACCTGCTGGCGCTGTGGTGTCCACGGGTTGCCCAGATCCCCCCATGAGGGCCTGCCCTGCTGCAAGCTGGGCCCGCTCTGGACCCCTCCACTCTCTCCTGGGGCCTGGGGCCCCGCTGGGCAGGCTCAGGGCTCCTGGCTGCGGGGTGTGGTGGAACTGTCCGCTTCCTGGCCCACGCAGCTCCCGGGCCAGCTTCTCAGCCAGTTTTCGGAAGGGTGGCCGGCGGGCAGGCTCGGCCTCCCAGCAGCTGCCCATGAGGGCATAGACGGGGCCTGGGCAGCCCTCAGGGGGCTCCATGCGGTACCCTTTCTCCACAGCCTCTGACACCTCCTTCAGCGACTGTGGGCAGAGGGCATGTGACATGCGCTGGGGGATCAGGGCCACGGCCTCCAGGCCTGCACAGGACCCAGTGTCTTCCCCAGACCCCACTCACCATCTTGGGGTATGGAGCCCGGCCGTATGAGAAGACCTCCCATAAAAGCACCCCGAAACTCCAGGCATCCGACTTGCTGGAGAACTTCTGTGAGGCCCGAGACCATGGGTGAGGAGGGACCCCTTAAGGCTTCTGCTCCAGCCCCTGCTTCCTCCAGGAAGTCCCCCCAGGTTGACCTTCACTGTCTGGTGTCCTCCCAATGGACTGCTCTCTTTGAGTTGCCCCCCTGAGTAGAACTCAGACTCAGTGCAGGGAGGGGGCCCAGGTATTCTTGCCCTAAGTGCTGAGTCTGTTTCAGAAACGGGGAAACTGAGGCCCAGACAGGGTCACACAAAGGAGATGCCAGGTACAGGCTAACAGGAACAACTACGGTCAGCACAGCCATTTCTCTGGAGGTTCAGAGACACCAAGAGACGTGCCCAAGGCCACACAGCAGAGCTGGGGCTCCAAGAGTCCCAGGGGTAGAGGGGGGCTCACCCCATGTTTGAGAGCCTCAGGTGCTGTCCACTTGACTGGTAGCCGGCTGGAGTCCAGGCCCTTGCGCTCAGCTTTGGCCAGGCCAAAGTCACTGACCTTGGCCACCAGGTCCTCAGAAATGAGGATGTTGCGGGCCGCAAGGTCTCGGTGCACCAGCTTCTTGCCCTCCAGGTACTCCATGCCCTCGGCCACGTGCCTGGGGAGGGGACAGGGCCGGGTGCCCAGGCTGCAGACTCCCAAAGCCACGCTCCTCCCTGCTCTGCGCCTCAGCTTCCCCTTGACCCTAGGGGACCCCCTCCCTGCACCCGGGGGCCCCACTCACAGGGAGAACTGCAGGAGCTGGGGGGTGCTCACGAGGGCCCGGCCCCGCGTCCGGAGGAAATTCACCAGGTTGCCCTGTGGTGGCAAGACGGTCTGGGGGGCTCACGGCTCCCAGCTGACCCCCGCCCGCCCCCACCTCGGGCCCCGTCCCCACCTTGCTCACGTGCTCCATGACGATGTAGAGCCCCTGGTGCAGGATCACACCCAGCAGACGCACCAGGTTCCTATGCTGCATCTTCCTGGGGGGCCGCAGGTGTGGGGTGAGGGTCCCGCCGGGATCCCTGGCCCCAGGACGCCCTCCCACCCCGAGACTCACGTCATGACTGCTGTCTCGTCCAGAAAGGCCTGGGCTGTCACATCACACTTGATGTTCTTTACAGCCACCTTTTGCCCCAGGTACTCGCCCTGAAGGACAGCTGGGGGGGTGGGGACGGGGATCAGCACCCGAGAGAGCCGGGGACAGCCAGCCAGACACGCCCGCTCACACCAACCCCCATGGACAATGAATGACAGCTACAGGTGCCCGGGCCTGGAAGCCCCCTCATCCACACAAGCCCCAGAGCCCTGATCAAAGAGAATGATCTATGCCAGGGGTCTGTGAACTCCGGCCCACGGGCCAAATCCCGTCCTGTCACCTGTGTTTGTAAGGCCCACAGCCAGGAATGGCTTTCACATTTTTAAATGGTTGAAAAACATCAAAATAATAATATTTTACAACACGTGAAAATCCCACAAAATTCCAATTTAGGGTCCATAAAGTTTTATTGGCATGTGGCCAGGCCCACTTGCCCACTTGTTCTGTGGCCGCTGTCCTGCTACAAAGGCAGGCCAGAAGGATGTGACAGAGGCTGTCTGGCCGGCAAAGCCTAGAATATTTGCACTCCAGCCCTTCACAGAGGTCTGCCAACCCCTGACCTAAGTTCCAGAACCTTCCAGTCCAGTAATCCCAGGGAATGGCACTCCAAGCAGAGGGACCAGAGTGTGCAAAGCCTGAAGGTGTGAAGGGGCTAATCACTCTCCACGAAGGCCCTCCTCATTCCCCTTTCAGCGGGGGAGCAGCCTCAATGGGAGGAGGGGAGCTGTTAACAGGATGCAAATTTATCTTTTGTGACTCCAAAGCCTGAATATGCCCCACCACCTTCCTTCAGCCCCCAACCCATACCCAGGCTCACCTCCAAACTCTCCTTCTCCGATCTGTGCTCCCAGCGTCAAATGCTGCAAGTTCAGTAACCAGCCGGCTGCGGGAAGACCAGTCAGAAGGGTAATGAGGTCCCCCTGCCCCTCTCATCGGGGGCTCCACCTGGCCAGGGAGCAGGTGGTGTCTCCCACAGTGGCCTGGCTGCAGACACACATTTGGGTGGCACGCTTCCCAGCAAGGACCCAACTAGTACCATGTAGTCCCAGTTACTGTATTTTCCAAAGCAACCAAGCCTACTATTTCAGGGTTACTCTTTTTCCTTCTACCTGGAGACTGTATTCCTCCAAATACCCCACAGGCCCTTCCCTTTACAGTCCTTTACCTCTGGCCCCCCAGGGACAAACACAGCAAAAAAATACACATGGAGACTGGTAAAGGTTCTGGAACCTTCCAGAATCTTCCAGTGATTTTAACTCATCTGTGCTTTGGCCTCCCTGACCCCTTGTCTTAAGTATGCCTGTGTTCTCCCCTCCTCTCTCCTCTAGCAGGCTCTGCAGGCTCCCTCCTTCTCCTCCGCCAAATCCTCCCTCCAAGTATTGTGCCCTTAGGTACGATCAGGCACCCGTGACCGCAGCCTCCACCTGAGTGCCGTCCCTAAGTCGTCCAGATTTCCCCGGAGGAGGCAGGTGCTTTCAAGGAGACGGACACGACCGTCAGGTTCAAACAGGGGCTTTCAGAAACGGGGTATGGGACATGTGTTTGGGCCTTGAGTACTGAAGATTTCACTACTCAGGGTCTGGAAAAGCATTTCAGGTGAAGGGAACACAATGTACCGTGGCTCGGAGGCATGAGAGGTGATGAGCCAGAGCAGCAGGAAAGATGGCTCAGCCACAGGGGCTGGGAGTGGGGAGGCCTCTCCCCAGGGAGGAGGTGGTCTGATGGGGAGGTCTGAGGATGGGCTGGTGCAGGGGTGACTGCGCGGGACAGGGCCAGAGGTAACTGGCTTTAGGATCTGGCCCGGAGGGGATGCAGGTGGCTGGGAGGTTCAGGCCCAGGTGTCTGGCTCAGGTGACAGGTGGATGGTGGGGACAGGAGAGAAGCAGCAGATATGCTTAGCACTGGGCTGCCCGGTGCCTGTGGGCATCTCCTGCCCAACCCAAGGGCAGCCCAGGCCTTCTGTCCACAGTGCTGGGCACGGCGACACATGGCGAATGGCCGGGTGCCCAGGCCACAGGGCGGTGCCTCCCCAGGCTGGGCTACGGTGGGCGGGAAAGGGCGCAGGCTCCTACCCTTGGCCAGCTCCTCCTGCGCTGACTTGGTGCCCTGCTTCCTCTTGGGTCTCACGAGCTTCGTGCAGATGGCTCCCTTGTCCTTCCTGTAGTGCTGCGGGGCGGGGCAGGGCGGGGTGGCTGTGAGCCAACCCCAGGGGGCGGGGAAGCCCTGCATCCCATTCCATCCCGGAGGGCATCTCTGGGTGGGGAAGGGCGGAGCTGGGGACAAGAGGGATTTGGTTCCCATGAGAGGCACTGGACTGGTTTCCATGGGAACGGAAAGGATGCATGGGAGCAAATGGGAGGATCCTGGGGGACTGGGGATGTCTCTTGATTGGTGTCAACTTGGAGGTTCCTAGGGACCTGGAGGACTCAGACCACCTGTAGGGCTGGGGGTCCATGGGGACTAGCCCCTGCCCTCTGCACTGGGGAGCATGCGGCTCTAGGGGTCCCGGGCCTCAAGGCGCCACACCTCCACCATATCCATGAGGTTGCAGAAGCAGACAGCCTCGTCGATGGTCAGGTGGCCATCCCGGTGCAGCACGCGGTAGTGGATGACATCATGGCCGAAGCTCACGCACAGCACGTAGTCGCCGGGGTGCCTTGCCGACTCGCGCACCAGGAACAGCCCATCCTCAGGTGGCTGCAGCTGCTGCACAGCCTCCTGGCCTGAGATCTTCCCGTGGAACCACCTGCAGCCGGCGGGAGGGTGGGCTGGGCCAGGCTGACGGGGACCTTGGACCCCCCAACCCCAGGGCTGACCCGTGACTCACGGCATGAGGCTGAGCTTGGGGTCGGCGGAGAGGGCCTCACGCTCCCGCAGCGCGCCGGCTGCCAGCAGCCCCTCCTGCCCGCTGGTGTGGTGCTTGGCACGGTACCAGCTCTTGCTCTGCCCAGAAGGGTGCCAGGGGTCAGTGGTGAGGGGCTCCTGGAGGAGAACCCTGTCCCCAAGTATGGTCCGGCCCTCCAGCCATTACTCACCGCACAGGCCTCCAGAATGGTGACCACGTCACCCTTGCAGAAGGCCAGCTCTCCTGGCTTGGGACGTGTGTGTTCACACTTGGTGATGCACTGAGTGCCTGGAGCCCAGCGCCTCTGAGGGTGTGGGGAGACGGGCGAGGGGCCAGGGAGCATGAGAGAGATGTGGGGAAGAGAGAGAGGCCCATGGGGACAGGGAGGCAGAGACAGCAGATGTGATCGAGGCAGAGACAGCGAGAACAGAGGTAAAGAGGGTGAGGAGGGGGAGAAAGATAGCAGTTACCCAAGGGGCCCAAATCAGAGGTCAGGGAGACATGCGACACCAAACGGCAGATGGGACAGGGGTCAGAGAGTGAGGACACGGGCACCCAGGTCGGGCGTACTCACCGTTGGCATCCTGTCTGAGATTGGCGGGGGGTGCCAGGTGCAGAGGAAGCGAGGGCTCACCTGGGGAGGGGGCAGAGACCAGCTGGAGGGCCCAGATTCGAGGCAGACCAGGGCTCCGGGGGCCGTTCATCGCCACTTCCAGCCCAGGCCAAGTGGCGGCATCAGCCAGGCATCCCCACAGGGGCCAGGCCCGGGTTCCCCAAGCCCTTTGGGGAGGTGGTCTTCAGCAGGGAGAGTTCCTTAGCAGAGTTGCAGCCATGAAACACCAGCGAGGAAGCCACAGGGCCCCGCCCCACCATAGTCCTTAAGGGGAAACTGAGGCACAAGGTGGGCATGGCACAAGTGGCCACAGGCTGGGATGCGTGGAGAGGGGGCCGGGGGCGCGCCTGGCTCAGGCCCCGGTGGCTTCATGGCCGGGCAGCTTGGTGCCACTTAATCAAGCCTAGTTCTTCCTCTTTTCTGGGCAGAGGGCAGCGGGCAGTGCAGGGGAATAGAGGATGATTCAAGGTCATTCCCAAGAATCCCGGACCCTAGGGTGGGGCAGGGGTGGGGGTGAAGCAGGCCTGCTGGCCTCCTCTGACTGTCAGCGGAGCCTCTCTGATCCCCTCCCATCCCAACCTAAGATGGACACACACAGTCTCTCACTGCTGCTGGGCCGGGCACTTTACCTCCCCTGCCTTCCCCACGGACCCCAGAGCAGGTGGCTAGGCGAAGGGGTAAATCTCTGCCCTTCCAGCATGCGTCCCCCAGGAATGTCCAACCCCACATGTACGCACATGCATACTGATCCATGTACACACGAACACACACAGAAACACACGGGGCTTGGACACAGGTACCCACAGGCACACAGGTGTGCAAGCAAAGGAACGTTCGCCTAGGGAGAGGTGTGTACACACGTCTACATGAGTGAACACACACAGACCTTTGGGCAGCCGGAGACGTGTGTACCTGCCCCCCCACCCCCACCCCCCCAACATATACACAGACCCACTCTTGAACACCTGGGCGCCATACGCTGGGCCACCCGGGCACGCAGAGCCGCGCACACGCATCTCGGCCACACGCACACATCCCTCCACGTGGACGCGCGGATACACACACCCGGGGGCTCGCAGAACCACACACCGCACCCAAAAAAATTCCCCTTCGCCGCGCCGGATCGCCTCTAACCACCTCTGACCCAACCGCGTACCCGCCGCGCGCCCCGGACGCACGCCCTCGCGCGCCCCGCGGCCCCTCCGCGCACGCCCGCAGCCCTCCCAGAGCCCTCGGGGTCCCCCCACTGCCCCTTGGCCCCTTCCCCCGTCCCCGCCGCCACGCTCACCTGCTTAGGCGGCGCCCACTGGCCGCGCCCCGCGCGCGCCCCCAGGAGGGTCCGCGCGCGCCGGCTGCGCACCCCAAGGCAGCCGCGGCTGCCCAACTCTGAGCAAGTTGCTCTGTTTCCTCATTTTTGAGGGGGAGGAGGGCTGGGGGAGCGGGAGGCGCCGCGGCCTGGGAGGCCCCCGCGGGTCCTAGTGCCAGCCGCCCGCTGTGGGCTCCGCGCGCCGCCGCCGGCCCCTCCCAGCCCTGCGGCACCCCCTGCGGCGCGGCCCGGGAGGGGACCCACGGCGCTGGCGGGCTCCTCGCAGCCCTCGGGCCTGGCGCCGCAGGGCGCGCACCGCCGCCCGCCCCGGGAGGCGCGGGCCTCGGAGCGCGGAGCCGGGGCCGCCCACGCGCGCGCGGGGGCAGTGAGCTGCCCGTCCGGGGAGATAAGCAAGCCGCAGAGCCCAGACCACACGGCCGACCCTTCTGACTCCGCTGTTTCAACGCCCTCAGTCACGTCCTCTGCTAAGGGAGCGGGGGCGGGGGCGGGGGCGGGGGGAAGTCTCATTTCAGTACCCGCCGCCCTAGAGGGCTGTCGGTGCCTGGGGCAAAGAAGCTGCACGAAAATGTCCACTGTTATCTATACCGACGATCATCAACTGTAAGGAAAAACTGGGGCCATAGGAAAAAGAAAGGGGAACTGGAAACCTTCTGGTGGAGGAGCCCCACTTGGAGGGTAACTGGGGCCCCGCCCAGGGCCAGCCTAGCTGTGCCCACAGACAGCTGCCGCCACCGTCCCTGCCTCGCCTTCCCCTCCGTGTGGCCAGCAGCGCCAGCCTGGGATCAGGCGATTCGGTGGCCACCGCTCCGGGCCGCATCCATTAGGGTTCTTCCTAGTGGATGTGTCCAGTCGGACAGGGATGGAGCTGATTTTAGGAGGACCGGGACCCAGGGACCCAGACAGCCTGGAGCCCGTATTTAATCTTGTGTTACCTCATAAGATTAGGTGTCTGTGCCTCTAAGGCATCACGTGATTTCTGGGACCACAGGCCCAGGTGGGAGAATTACAGATCACCCATATTATGGAATATTATGCAGAAAAGCTTAGACACTGTATTAAGGTGCTAAGATCAACTGTTGTCAAAAACCACTACCACCGCCGACGTGACACCATACAGACAGCACAGTCCCATCCATGTTTTTTAGGGTAGAATAAGCCCAGAGAGAAAGTTCCAGAAATGGACCCCCCCCTCCTGTGAGGTAAGTGGGTGGTGGAGGGGCAAGGAGAGGACGCTTTTCCTTCGTGGTGGAGTCATTCGCTGTTAGCAGCGGCAGCGTTTGCACAGAGGATGCCTCAGAGGGGTTCCCTGGGCTCCGGGATCCAGCTGTTGTCCAATCAACCCAGGGTGCGGCCCCGCCTCCCAGCCAGGGGCACTGCTGGAAGCTAGAGCTGGGGACCCTACAGCTGCCATTCACTCGGTCACTGGGGGCCCACCATATATGGCTAACCATCATCACTTGCTTGAAATAGAAACGCGGCATCAAAATAGCCACAGCGGAAACTCAGCAACACGTTAGATTCTTCTTAGCAGAAACTGCCACCGGCCCCAAGCCCCACAGCTGAGGCCTGCCTTTGCTCAGCAAGGATGTGAGCCTGTGTTTAAGACATTAAGACGCCCTGGTGGCCCGTGACATTCTCCTTGATGCAGTCAGTGGGATGGGAGGAGGGTTGAAAGGGGCGGGCTTGCTCCCTCTGGACGGACACCTAGTGTCTGATTACTCCTCACCCTCCCCACAAGCCCCAGGTCCTTCCAGAGTGTTCAGAAGTTATCAGGTTCCCAAATCTCCAAGGACCAGCCTGGGGCACAGGGAGTCACCCAGGGTGTGGGTGCAGGGCACAAAGCTGTGCCTAACTCTAGGGGGATAGATCTAAATTCATGGTTCATTTGAGTCAGAGCTACGGAAGGAGTGAGCTCCCCAGCCCTGGAGGCATCCAAGAATTGGCCACTTGGAATCACAAAGGCTCCCTGGATCTTGAAGTCCCAAGAGCAGGCAACACCAGTTTCTCCTGCCTCCTGCAGGAAGTTGAGGGACTCACCCCTTTCTTCCACCAGCCTGAAGCCAGTTGGTAGCCACACCATTAGGTCAGACTCTGGAATTCCCCAGTCTTGGGTTCTTCACCCTCCCTATTTCAGTCTTGTTAACTTGATTACAGAAATTGTCTGTCCCTCCCACCCCCCACCCCAAGCCACCTGACTGGTGCAGGCTGGTGACACAGGGGTCCCCTCCCTAGTTTCCAAGGTGCCTCCGGCTTTTCTCTTTGATGCCATTCAGCTTCCACTGCATCACCAAGGAATGAAAATGTGACTATAGCCTCCCCCATTCTAAATCCTTCCGTAGCTCCCTGCTGCCTACAGGACAGAGCCTAAAACACTCCGTCTGGAATTCAGGGCTCTCCGTGCTCAGCCTCTAGCTGAGCTCCTGGTCTCCTGCTCCCACCAAGCACCCAACAGCCTGGCACGTGGACCACAGGAGTTCACGTGTTTTTGTGGTGCCTGGAATGCCCTTTCCACTTGTCCAGCTGGCATCTTCAGCTCATGCCCATTTCAACTGGCTCGTTTTTATGAAGGCTTCTCAGAGCGAGACCCCACCTCTACACCCTGAGTGGTGTGCTCCCCGGAGCTACCAGCTCTCTCACCTCACTGTGTGAGGGCCACGGAGCCGGCCTTGGTGATGGGGCCCAGCAGCCTGCCTTAGGAGGAGGCTAGCACAGAGGATGCAAAACTGAGAAATAGAGACTGAACTCTGTGGGAAGAATTCAGATCCTTGGATTCAGCCATGCCTGTAGCCTTGGCATCCACCACAATGACGAGTGGTGGGACCAGAAGCAGGGTGTGGAACAGATTCTGTGATATGGAGCTGGTGAGTCAGATTAAATTGCCCTCAACCCAGCTAGGAAGAGGGATCTCTGGGGGGCAGCCTTTCAAGAGCTGGGAAATCTGCCTCCCATCCACCGAGTCAGGCAATGCTGGCTTCCATCACTTGCAACAGAGGTGCTCTGGTAGACCCACCTCCTCCTCTCCAGAGTGCCTTTCTTCTGCTCATCCAAATATCTCTGTTCTTCACAGCTTCCCTGTCTTCTGTTTTGTCTGTCATAACGCTCCATTCTCCAAATTCCTGGAGATTTGGGAGGCCAGTCCTCTCTTTTTAGAATTGGAGCAGCTGAGAGCCAGAGAGGCAAGGCTACTTGCCCATGGCCACACAGCTGGCTAGAGCAAAAAGTCAGGCCTGCAGACTCCCCTGGTTGGGTGGAAGAACCTCTCAGAGGCAGGGCACGTTTCTTATTCTTCATTACTACTTTGGATGAAAATCATTGTAGGCAATGAACAAAGGGACTCATGTGACAGGCACTTTAATAATCAGTTAGGATTGGGATTTGACAGGACGGAAGACCCCAAGTGCCAGGGGCTTGAATAAGATAGGAATTAATACTCACTGAGGGAATCAATCCTGGGCAGTCAGGGACAGAAGCTCCTGCCCTGTTGTTTTGCTTTTCTCAGCACATGAACTATCACCTCTTGATCTAACATGGCTGCTTGAGCTCCAGCCCTCCCATGTGCATTCCAGCCAACAGGAAGCATGAAGTTGGCAGAGAAAGATACACCTCTGCCCTTTAAGGACTCTTCCTGGAAGATGCACATGATACTTGCTTCATTCATTGTGGGCAACTCAGCCATATGATCACACCCAGAGGCAGGGAAAGCCGGGAAATATAGCTGGGGAAAAGGGAGAGTCAGGGGCCCTGGCCTCCTCTTCCTCAAAGCTTCCAGGCTTGCTCCCACCTCAGAGCTTTCGCATTAGCTGTGCCTTCTGGCTGGGACACTTCCCCAGACATACCGAACTTGCCAGCAACCTATGGAATATTTCAACCTCACATCCCCTTGTAGCTCTGCAGAGCTACCACAGTTAAGCAACCATTTATTTTACTTGTTTACTGGCTGTGTCCTCTGTGGATTATCGGCAACCAAAGAGGGCAGGGATTTTAGACAGTGTCATTCACTGTTGTGGCCTCAGTACCTGGCACATAGTAGGTGCTCAGAACACATTTTTTAAAGCCAATGGATACTGGAGAGTGGAGAGGTAATGAGCAGTGCCTGTCACCTGTGAGGTGAGCACTCTCACTGTTCCTCAAATGCTCCAGGCACCACCCAGCCTCTGGGCCTTTGCACATGCAGTCTTTCCTACCCCCAGCTGCTAGCAAGCCTGGCTCCTTCTCTGCATTTCTGCCTCGTCCAAGGGGCTCTTCCTGACACCCACAGTGGCCACCCAACATCCAAGCCCAGATAACTGCCTGTTACCCTGTCTTACTAGTTCTTGTCAACTGGCCTCCTGATGAGGGCGTTGAGGCTTGCTCTGGGGAACAGGAAATGGTGGGCTGTGCTTTGAACCCAGGAAGTCCATCTCCTGTTCCCACATGCTGGCTGCATGGCAAGGTGTTGGGCACATGGCAGACCCCCAAAGAGCTTTCTAGACCCGGAGGGCAGGTTGGGCAGGGCAGCCACAGCCAGATGTGGGGACTGCCGGGCTGCTGTGGTCCCAGTGGACCCTCGACTGGAGCAAGGGGCCAGATCAGACTGCCCCAATTACCACACCTTTAAATTTAGCTTTCTCCTCTCTGCTAGGGGATTTGCGGATTCAGCTAAGCCAAAAGGCTCTTTCTAGGAAAGACGCTGCATTGCTGGCTTTGCAATGAACCCTGATCCACTCTAGACTTGCTGAACGACAGGCCTCTCCGGACCACCTGCTTTGGGGTGCTGGGGGTGATCTGCCTTTGATGGGGGAGGCTGTCTGCTCTGCCCCCACAACCCTCCTCCCAACTTCCTTATACTATAGGTGGAGTCAGACCCATCGTTTCCTGGCCACACCCATAGGTCAATACAAGTAAACTGGGTCCTTGTCACTTCTGATCTTGGAACCTTCCTGTGGGTCCCACTGTGCTTGGGATGAAACCCATACTCCTGGCTAAGGCCCCCGCTGGCTGAGTCACTGCCAGCATTCTGCTCTGAGCTCCCTCCACAGGCCTGGCTGGCTCTCTGCTACCCCTCCCACCTCGGCAGCTGCTGTTCCTCAAATGCTCCAGGCACCACCCAGCCTCTGGGCCTTTGCACGTGCAGTCTTTCCTACCCCCAGCTGCTCACAAGCCTGGCTCCTTCTCTGCATTTCTGCCTCGTCCAAGGGGCTCTTCCTGACACCCACAGTGGCCACCCAACATCCAAGCCCAGATCGCTGCCTGTTAGCCTGCCTGTCTTACTCGTTTCTGTCAGTTGGCCTCCTGACTCACGTCACGCCCCTCAACAGAAACGAACAAGGGCAGAGGTCAGCTGTGCCCCAGGCAATCATTTACCTCTTGAGCCTGGCATGCAGTGGGTCCTCACAGAA